CCACACTCTATTTCGATTTTGTTGAATTTCATACAAGTTTTTTATAACAAATTAGTTTTAGTACACTTTATGAAGATTATTTCTTGACATAGACATTTTAAAATAGAGAATTCTGTACTTTTTTTGTAAAGGTTAAACTCGATAAGAGGTATAATCGTAGGACAGCGAACTTATTTTTCGAACAAATAAAGTAAAATTCTATTATTAACATGGTGCATACTAATGAAAATTATTGGCAATAGTAATTCTTTCACTTCGACTTGACTACAAAATAAGATGCTATTATCAGTGGCATCAATATCAAAACACAACAAATATTGATCTTAGAGATTATCACTGAACAAAATAAATATCTAGAATCATAAATCATCATCTGCTTGCTCATATCTTTTATTTCGTTTTGAATCATATTCGTTTTGTATTGTTGATTCGTCTTGTTTACTATCATCATTAGTAAAAAGCTCTTGAACTAACTGATATTATCGCTGCATTCGATCTATTTTCCATTTAGTATATTTGAATGTTTCTGTTTTTCTATTTGTGAGTTACATTCTTCTTAGCTGCACTAGTGGCTATCATTGATTAAATCTTCTTTTAAACGAAATGCTTCTTTTCTACGTCCTTTTATTAATAATTGAGTAACTAGTTTTTGGCATCTTTGAACATTTTATAATTAAATAAGATTCAATAATCATATAATCAATTGAACTTTTCTTTTGTTGTTATTTCCATTTTAAGGAGAATATTCATTTTATTATTATAAAAAAATCATCAACTAGTATTATTTTATTTTCATCTTATTTTAAATTTTCATAATCATAACAATCAACAATATTTACATCATTTTTGTTGTTAATTTTAGATAAACATTAGTACTAATATATACTTGAAATCCATTATATGCAATATCAATAACTTTTTGCAAAGAGAATGATGGCTAAATTTTACTAGTGTTATCGTTTTGATCAGCAAAAAAAAAGCCCTCAAGAACTTTTTTGGGAAGACACCACTACTTGCAATGCAGTAGAACGTCCTCGAGAAGATTGAAAACAAATCCAATTGATTCGATCTCAATATATTCACCTTGCATTCAAAAGAGTATTTTCCTAGTTTCCGTTTTCGCAATCATCGCGATACAGAATAGTCATTTTCGATGCATATGACGAAAAAGTCGTGAAGGTCTATATGAATAATTTATTTCGCACTGCATTAATGATGCATCTGTAATGTAATGTCGATGTTTTCATCTAGATGTGTTATTTAATATATAAGATAGTACAAAGACTAGTTATTTATAGAAAACTTTAAAAGAATAGAATCTTATCTTGATCAATATAAATATAGTTTTCGTTAAAATTAAAAATAAAAACTTATTAGTGCAGTTCCTTTGGTGCTGAAATATGGAACTCATATATCTTCTTTAGTTTCATTATACTAATGGCAAAATATAGAATGTTTAAATCTTCTAAAAAATGATAGTTTTTTTTTCTATAGTTCGAACAGAAATTTTTTCTTCTTTTTTGCTGAAGTTGTTATGATTTGTAATGGGGAAAACTGTGAGAACTTGAGCTTAAAACTTACACTCACTATTTTCTTCGAAAATTGATGTGAGTTTCACGAAAGAAAATATTTTAATAGTAAATAGATAATGTATTGCAGACAGATTGTATTCTTTTTTATTAGAGAAAAAACTAATTATAATTGAGCGTAGAATTTTTCTCTAATAATAAATCAATATAAGCAGATTTAATATGATTTTTTTTCTTGAATTCCAATTCGTTGACATAAATCTTTAGCAATTAATTGTCCTTGTTCAGAGGTTTGATTATCTTGTAAAATAACTTCAAGTTCAATGAAAATCGATGATTCAAAACCTTTAACTTGATCAATATGTATTCGTGTTTGTCCATGACCTGTTAAAAATAATGTTCAATGTTTATCAATGATAATAATAAAACATTCTAAAAACATAATTAATTAATCATTTTCTTTTCGACAAGAAGATGAACGAAGATTTTTTCTAAATAAAATAATTATCATAGAAAAAAGAAAAACAATAAAATTTTTCTTTTAAAATATTACTTGTATTGATCTTTTTGTTTTTCTAAATATTTCCATCTTTGTTTAACTTGTTCATTAATATGAAAAGGTTTTTTAAATGGTCTTTGACTTCCTCCAAATCTTAATTGTCCTGATTGTTTTTTTCCACCTAATCCACCTCCACATCTTCTTGGTTTCCAACCAAAAAGTTT